TTTATGTGCATAGAATTCTTCTCTGCATAATAAACATATATTATCTCTTATGTAGCACAACTGATATGCTCATATTCTGGCTTCTATTCTAGCCCTTACCATGTAGGCATTCTGGTATAATTATATTCATTGTTGGGATTCCAATTATATGTGAATAAATTTTAATTAGGTAGCATAAAATTATCTAGATGAGCATAAAATTATTTTCAAATTATCTTTAACCTTCATAAATATGCAATGTAGGAATGGAACTGACATCTGCAGTATGCAGTTCCCCTAGGTGGGAAAAAAAATTTTGTTTACGCCAACATTATGCAGCAATAGTTGGATATAATGATCTTTCTGTGATTTCCATCAGCATTACAACTAAAATATGTTTAACATCAGCACCAAGATCCTCTAATTGGGAAAAAAACTAAAACAACTATTAATAAAAATACAACAAAATCTCATACAACCATGCAATACAACTAAAACGTATTTCTTTACAACCATTCAGAATCATTTAATTACAGAGAATGTCCAGCTTAACATCAGAACCAAGGTCCCATAAATGGGAAAAAACTTTCAATTCTTTCAACAAAAATATAACTAATTTTTTTACAACCATGCATTACAACTGAAACTCAATTTCTTACAGACATCCAATGGGACTGAACTCAGTTCTTTACAAATATACAAATACAAAGATGGATATCCTTAAAATCAACACCTGCATCTTGTATCCTTAAAATCATTAAAATCAGCACCTGCAACTTGTATGGTGAGAGAAAAGTGTCTAAAGTTCCCAAAGGATCTGTCATATTAAGAAACAAAACCAAATAAAAATTATAAAAACATCAACATCATTAAACAAAGAAACTTATGTCAATGACAGTTGCAAAGTTCACCGAACCAGTTGTCCAATGCTCAAAATGATTATTTTCTTAACAAACCAATGTCCAATGCTGAGTAACATAAAATGAGCAATTCCGGAAGAGAAATAATAGAGGACTAAAGGGGTAAATGCTAATAAACATACACGTGTAATCATTTCTAAAGAACTATATTCTTGACAAAGCGAATTTACACATATCGTATCTTATTTCTGCTCTAAATAATGACATAGATTTCTGTCATTCCAAATATTCTTTCCAATCAACTCCATTCTTTTGCACTAGTGTTTTCATATATTCACATACAAATACACCACACAAAAAAATATTGCTCTGCACTAGTATGCCTCTGGCCATATGTACCGGCCATTTACTCAGATTAGCCTTGAACGCTTCCCCAACATCATTCAAAAAATATTTAATCTGCACATTTAAATGTAAACTTGAATGAACAATAGCAATAATGTGTACTATTGTTTGTCCAACGCATAAATCAATTAACATTGTCTGCTTACAATGATGTCGGTAATATTCAAATGCATTTTATTGGGTAAGGAGTCGTATAATCTCCGTTTGCATTCCTTGATTGCCCCAACTAGCAGCGTCCAATGTTGATTATTTATTATTGGTAGCAGAAGCAACTTAACATTCGTAGCAGTATCGGTCGTAATGTGCTAAACAAATCTTTTAACATTTCCAACTTTGTACAGCTGCATAAAATGAGACATATCACATAAGAACAAATAATCATGTTAGATATATTTAGGTGCATTATAGAACTAGAGAATTGCAAATTTTACCCAGTGACATGGAGAGACATATAAGCACGATCTATATAAATGTGGTGCGTGACATCTATTATTTTCCATCAATATAGCAAAACAATCAACTTGTTCATTTCCTAAACAACCCTCCGTGAGGAGTTTGTTAAGGTAACGTCGAGTTAACGACACATGTCCCATATTAATCACTAAATCATCTTTATATTTCAAATATGTAAATTTTATGTCAAATCTATACAAAAGTGAAACAATAAAATCAATTAAAAAATATGGTACACTAACAAGTCAGTGAATTTGCTACAACAGAGGTGGATTGTTTCTAACATATAATATGAAATTTGTTGTATAGGGAAAATCGACCACCAGTGGTCCTAGACAAACCCTATAAGACAAAAAAATAATATTGTATAGTTTGAATATTAAAATTTGTAATACAAACACTTAAAGAAAAAATTTTATATCTTATCAGGAGTCTTCATCAACATATTGTCTGTCCACCTGCTCATGATCTTCCTCTGTCTTCAAATTCTGTCGCTTCCTTAGTATGTACAGTTGGTTGATCAACACTAATGTCGTCATTTATAGTGAGCTCTAAAGCTGTCGATTCCCCCTTATCTACATCTTCTGCCTCTTCTTTAGCAGATGGTGGTCGATATAATTGGTCTGCTTCCCCTTTATTTACAGCTTCAATCTGTTGATTAATGGATAATGTTAATTATATTCTATTGGATGATTTTTTTTGGAAAAGTATATACCTCTCTAGCCTCTTCAGCAGCTTCATGTGTTGATTTTTTTTCCTCTGTTCAAAAACCATGAATGGGGAACTGAAAAACCTTTTTTCTTTCACCCTCTCTTAGCTTAATCTTTTGAATTAAGCTTCCTAATGGGGGCTCTTCGACCCGTTTCCTTGGAAATTCCCCACCTGATTATCTTATTGTTTTATGTAAATCCTTGACTTCACATTCTAACTCTATAATTGTATTCTTTATATTTGTCAGACGAGTGTCAACTGAGTCTTGAAAGTTCATGAACAATTTATGATAATTTTTAAATAGTTCATGTATTTCTTCAAAACCAATATGAGGGCTTGTATCTGTATATGTTTCATCATGTGTTTGTTGAGGACCGGTGTGGTAAGAAACTATAGCAGAATCCTCAACGAGCGTGGGAGAATATTACGGGATTGAGTCTTCCGTTGTCGGAGATGCTTTGCAGGACTAAATGGTTTTTCAAGAGGAGGGGTAAGTAAATGATGCTCACTGTCTTTTATTTCGAAGTAATAATCATAAACCTGCAAGGCATTACATACAAACAAAGTCAATGAAAGTATCACAATATTATAATAAGATTTTCTATGGAGTAAGGAAATAAATAACTCACATCAGTGACACTGAGCCTCTTAAAGACTAGTTGAATCTTTACTAAATTTCATCTCACATTTAGTGGTCATCCCAGCATTCGTGGTATAGCCTCAGACACTGCTGGGAGGACCAACGACGTATGCTCATAAAATCAGAGCTGTGTGAAACATGATAAAATAATTTATTGCTATGTCTAAAATTATGAATTGAACTTTTCAGAGTTATATGCAGAACACAAATCGTTAGAAGGAAGACAAAACCAGTAATGTATCTCAATGACTGATCTTTCTTTATTTTCGTGGCACAGACATTCAGTTGCTCGGTCAAAAATCCACATACTGTAGCTGTCAATCATAAGCTGTAAAAGATTTCACATCCTCGCAAATAAAGAACAACTCTTTCGACACTCTAAAGTTACTTGAAGAAAAAAATAAATTTGACATTAAAAACTTTTATTAATAATTGCTAAAGGTTATTCAAGGACTCCCTTAGTGAATAGTTCAGTAGTGCGGTCTTTATTTGTCTCGCATCCATACTATCAGGCGAAACATAACTCCAAGATGCAGGTAACTCTCTATTGGGCATGCCTATCAGGAGTGCAATTTCGTCTGCATAAAATTTGACATCTTTCTCTCGAAAGTTGAATGTCATTCGATCAATATTCCAACAGTTTATTATGTGCATTGTCAGAATATGATCTTGAGGGTGCGGAGGGAGTTCAAAAAACTAAGCTAAACTCATATCTTTCAATTTATTACATGTTTCCTCGTCCACTGATGGTCGGACCTTATCGAGGGTCTCTCATACTGCAGATGGACGACACCTGCAATTCATTGATTTTGCGCTTAAAAACCTACAATAATACAACATAATAGTTTAAGATCTAATAAAAATCCAAATGATAACAAAGAGGGTGAATTTAAAATCAAAACCTAACAACATAACCAAGCTTTAGGGATCGGAAAGCAAAACCTAAAAATACCTAGATTCATTATCCTTCTTCTTCTTTGACTCCTTACGGCTGCCCTTCACCATTTGCGGTTCTTCCTTGCATTCCGGCTTCTCAGCCTCTCCCAAATCCGCGACATTGGCCTCTTCCAAATCCTTTTTCGTAGTCTTGGCGATGTCCTCTTCCATTTTAATGTTCCTTCACAAAAATAATCTGAAATCTAGTACCCTAAACTTCAAAAGGAAGACGACGAAGATAACCCTAGCGGCGCGCGAATGCCTATTTTTCGAAAATGAAAAGTTACTGTCTGGTTTTCAATTTTTACCTCGTTTTAATAGATTATAAAACACTATTGTTGATGTTATACAAATGTTACAATTACGTAATTAAGGGGTTACAAGAGGGTTAAACACGCTGTTTTGCGGCGACGGGATTAAAATTTTGTTACATCAAGGTTACAATGAAGTTACACAAATGGTATGCCTCTTGTTCCGCTCTAAACAAGGTTATATGAAAGTTAAAATGAGGTTATACACGCGGTACCACGACCTGAGTGGGAAAAGTTACACATCGATTACAGCGGGGTTACAAGAGCGTTACAAAAGGCCGACCGCGGGATTTAACGGTAGGGTACACCTGTGTTACAAATGGGGTTACAACTGCGTTATAGGAGGCCGACCACGGGAGATACTGGAAGGGTACAGGGGGATACAATCTAGTTAACATCGCGGGCAGGATCAACAGGTCACGCGCGACAAAATTCTTATTTCTTTTATAATTTAAACGTGATCGGACCGCCGCAACATACGTGGCATTCTCCTACTGGCTATCATACGCAGCGCTGCGTACGTCTTATATACACAAATTTTTTCCGTATTCTTGTTGGTTGCCCTATGTTCTTGTTTGTTTGTCTAACAGTTTTGCTGGTTTGGTCGAAGTTCTTGTTGGTTGCTTATTTGGCTGCCGAGCTGTTTTTTTTTTCTTCTTTTTTTCTTCCTTTTTTTTTTTTATTATCTTTGCTATAATATTTCAGATTTGGTGGTGGCAAGCTTAGGCATTTGTGCTGTAGATTCTTGGGCTTCTGAGCATTAATACACGTGCTAAGGATAAATATAAAAAACGGCACTATATTTCCTCCTTTAAGGGCTACAGAAATCATGCATGATATTCACGTGCTTGTATGTGCTTTAGCTAGGGCATCTTTTATGCTCAATAATTTAGCTAGAGGCTATGATCTTTTGGCTACATCATTCATGGATATTGATGCAGTAAGTTAGCTTTCATTTTTTTGATTTAATGGAGGAGAATCTTCTCAATAGTACTTATACGACTAAGGGGAAGAGAGACTAGTTTTGTGTAAAGAGTAAACCTCTTCTTTTGTTTTACAGCAAAGTGTGATAGCATATGGCCGCTGCTCATATGGATATGCTGAACTTAAGAAGAATAAGTTCTGGGTTTTATTGTGCCAAGGAAGTGAGATATAAAAAAGAAAACCTTTTTGTCCATACCATGGCATGTGAATTTATTATTGAGTGTGGGTCTAATGTTGTCTAAATCGGGCATATGATGTGTGTCTGGAAATGTAAAAATGGAGTGTTTTGTGCTCTTTAAAGTAGAATAATATTGGATTAAAAAAAGTTCTTCTTCATCCACTATAAAACAATCATATCTATGTTGGCTTTTCTTATTCAAATGCAAAAATTCATGCAATTTTCAGATATCTGCTCTCTTCCCACGCAATGGCAAGGGAGTGGCTTGGGTGGCCCATGCCTTTGAGGGCAGCTATGATGGTATCATCTGATTCGATGATACTTTGGTTCGTAATCCTATTTTCTTCCGTAATTACCTAGAGTTCTTTTTTTAGATTTAGGATAAAGGAAGTGAAATGAAATTGAAGCGGTTTACATCCATTCCTCTAAATTCTTATATGTTTACATGCCTAGCATCTACGTTTTAATTTTTACGTTGGCCCGAAATAGCACAATAGGTTCAGCTTTCTATTTCGAAAGTCAAATCTCTCTCTCTCACTGTGATTTGAGGAGGATGATTAAATTCAGCATGGAAAGCAATCTTTCTGTCCATGGTGCTTCAGGGATCTTTTCTTTTCTCGTGCAATGGCCTGTGCTTTTGAGTGGAACCACTGCATCCTTGTGCCATTGGTAGAAAACATTTGGGTATATCTAACTTTGGATGGAATTAAGACGAATCCAAGCCACTGTTTTTTTTTTTTTTTTTTCGTTTTATTTTAATTTTTCTATATCTTCAAGCAACCAATTTGGATGTTAAAGTGGATTGAAGTTTGTAATTGCTGTGCTCATCGCCTACCATTGTAATCCCCACTCTATATTTTTTCCCCCTAATTTCTGAAAGTGTCTTTTCAAATTAAAAAAAAGGGCATGTGAAATGAAACTATGGGAAATTTACATACATACCACTCAGTTCTTATATATTTATGGGCAGCTTGGAAGGCCCCCTTATTTTTGAGGGCAACCGCTGTCTCCATGAGTTCTTGGGAAAGAACTGGTAGGTAGATATGTTTTGATGGAACAAAGACGAGACTTGCTTTTGATTCCCAATTTCTTGCTCACTTTTTATATCCTCAAGCATCTAGTTAGAGCCATAAAGTGGATAGATATTTGCTGTTTAGCAGAAGTTATGATCTATCTTAGTTTGTTGTGCGTGTGTGCTTTATTTGACTTGGTTTCAAATGATCCGAGGCGATAATGCCCACATGATGACGGTGACTTGAGCCTAGATGGTATGCTTTAATGCATCACTGGTGTTACACTCTTCCAAAGTGAGTGCTCATTCATTTATGTGTCCTTCCGGGTAGCTTTCTTATTGATGTGCTAGAAAGTTGCCATATTTGATCGTTACTTCTTTTGCTACTTTGTTAAGAAATTTCATTTATGAGATTGAGCTTTGAGCAATGTTGCTTGTGCCAAGTTCAAATTTGGATTTGGATTTGAACCAGTTTCAAAGCTTGAACTTCAATTGGCTCTTTACTTCTTGAAGGTTCATTACTATGGCTTTTATTTGTAGATGCAAATAAACTTTTTTTTGTGGGTTTCCAAATTCACCTTCAAAGTATGCATGGTATTTCTTTATCAAAAAAAAAAAAAAAAACGTCTTAGGTCTCTATTTTGTTGATTACTAGATTCAATTTACCCAAAACTATCTTGGTATCATTTTCTTCTGCTGTCATTCTTTGATAATTACTTATTTTATTTTTGTTAAAATTTTATGATTTTTTTTTACTGTATTTAATCTTAAACTCCTTTTGTTCTTATACATTTATTTTAGTGGTTGTATAACATGTAGGAGCATGCCTCTGCTGAAACATAAATCCCTTACTATGAAGTTAAAAGCTTCCTATGAACTATGGAATGATTTCCAAATGCCCGTTGGAATTAAAAGCTTGAAATGTAATCTTGAGATATAATCAGCTGCCTTCATTAGTTTAGTTGATCTTGCTTCTTTTGTTTACTGTGAGGTCTATGGCATTACTCATGATGGTTCATGCATGCTTAAGAATAAGTGTATAGCAGGCAATACTATTAATATTAAATTACACTTGTTGAATAGGAAATTTCAGCTTCGTTATTATTATTTACTTTTTGGTCAATAAAAGTTTTCATTTGTTGTTTTCATTTGCATTATCAGTATGCCATAATGATTAATACGTTTCTCTGTTTGCTGTTAAGCCATGTAAGCAGCAAGTGGTGTGTCTTATCTTGTAGGATGACAATTTACTTCTGAGGAATTTATTCGCGCTTGTCAATGTGCTTGCAAAATGTTAAGTTGAGTGAAGCTAAACTGTTAACATCGAGGTACCTTTTGTTGGAACTTCATCAAAACTCCAAAGTTAAGGGGGCGTTTACATTCAAAACCACCCAATTCTCATTTATCTACATATCTAACACCTAAACCTTACTTTTACAATTATACCACCCAATTTCTTGGTGCTTTTATATTTAACTCTTAAAGTTTGCTTCTTTACATTCGTATAATCTAAAATTTAATAAATATATATATATATATATATAAAAAAAGAAGTTTAACTTTTCTTGCATGGATAAATTAGTGAGGTTTGTCGTGAAAGCTGTCAAACTTTATGAAAAGCAATATATATATATATATATATTGTGGAAACTTGTTTGATTTTAGTGTTTTCATTTAAAATTTGCGATTTTAACATCCTCCATCTTGTCGGAATCAGAAATGTTCTCTTTCTTGTATGTACTTATTCACAAAGGTTGAGCCTGATTCTTTTCATGATAAGCTATTTAGGAAAAAATGCTTGTAAATGTTGTTCCAATATACGTTCCTCCTCAGGAGTAACTACCTTTCATGCTAAAAAAATTGATACTTGAATAGCTTTGTAGTTATGGAGAGCTGTGTGGTCTTAAGGGACAATATTGCTTTGTAGGTCAGAATGAATGAAAGGAAAAAATTGCTTGCTGTGTTTGAAGGTGATTATGTGATTTCTGATTATCTTATTTAATCTAATGCCAAGGAGGTGGACTACTTTATTATTTCTTGTTGTTGGCTGCTTAGCAGCTTTGACACTTTTCAGGAATCACTATATTGGAATAGTAAATCTTGCTTAGTCCATTCAATTTAAGAGCTTCATTTAGAAAATTAGGATGTCGATTAATAGCATGATTGGTGATATATCTAAACATGTATGTGGGTTCAAGTCACATACACAAGCGATCCAGAAAGGTAAAAGGAATTCTAAAAGAAAAAAAGAAAAGAAAAGAGAGCATTACATGTCAAGCACCTGAAATTAAATATACATACCTACCACTCAATCTCTATGTGCTTTCATATTTAATATCTACACTTGAAAATTTACGTAAGCATCATGTATGCAAATACAAAAGCACTTGAATGGGCATGTATGCAAATGTGTGTTGAGGTTCTTGGTAGCCTTAGTCTATAATATCGGAAATCTTTCATCATTTCGTTTCAAAACAAAAATGATGGTAATCTCCTTTCTTTTATGGAACCTCATTCTGGAAATCTAAAATTGTTGCGGCTTCAGTTTATGAAATTTGGAGACTTCACTGAATTCATTTTGGGGAACAAGGAATCGTTATGGCTCATTTTGCGATGAATTGGATAAGACATTATGATTAGTGATGCATGTGCATTACTTGGGTCGTACATATTTACATCTGTGCTTCAATTGTTTACTACTTAACTCTTATGTATCTACATATTCAACTGTCAAGCTTTATCCCTTTTGTGTGCAATTCAAATCATTCACATTACATCAAACACTTTCTTCCATTCACATCCTAAAAATGAAATGCATCTTTTCATGCCCACAAGAGATTAATGTTTGGCTGTTAGAAACATAAACACATATGGATTGAATACTAGACATGCAAACTTTTATAACATTATCATATGCTTTTCTTAATATCAATAGTGGAGATACTTGAGTTCAAATAGAGACATTTATGATGTGATGATATATGAATCATCGAGCGGGCTATAAGTTGGAAGGTTTGGGGTTAAGGGCAGTGATGTAAAACCATATTCATGCTTATATAGCTGTAACTTTTAAACCAATAATTAATTTGTAGTTGTCATTCTCACTTCTTTAGGTTGTTGATAGCTTTAACCCCAATCTTGAATGACTTGTGAACTATGGCTTAATAATATTGGTTGCTGAAAATCTCGAAATTACAATTCTATAGAAACACTACATTACATGTACATGACACATGATCGGAAAGGCTTGTCTGTTATATGTTCACTTGTCATTCAGGTAATGGGGATTCGAATTTGCCCAACTTTAGAGTGTTTTGCTAGTAGCTACTATTCAATGTTGGTATATAGACTTTGATGCCTCAGTTGCTTGTGGGAATATAACAAATGAAAAGTCTGAAGCTGAGCCCATCCCCAATCTAAATTCTTATACCCTTTCTGATTTTCCATATGTTTTTCACTCAACTTTTTATGAAAACATACATGTTTAATTTTTTTTTTATATTTAAATTGCAACTATTTGCTTAATCTTTTTATATACATTTGTGTTATCTAATTGCAATTCTTTTTAATCTTTGTTGACCTTTTTCTTTTTACTACACTTTACTGTTCATATTTTGTTATAGATGCAATATTATCCTCTTGTTATTTACTACACTTCACTACATATGCTCTGTCATACATGCAATAGTATTATTTTGTTATTCTTTACTACGCTTCTAACATATTTATATAGCACTCTAGGATAGTAAATGTAGAACATATGTTTAGGATTGAGAACTTATACACAGTCAACATACTTTTTTTTTTAAATTTCAACACTTTCTCAAAATTTCATAACAAAACATTTTTTTTAATTACAAATAATGTTTTAAAACTTTGATAAATTAATAATAACATATAATAAACCTTTTTGGATTTACGAGAATCCCTCGGATGAGATAATCTACGGTTGCTGATGAGAATTTTTCAGGCTAAATAAGTTTAACCGCTTGTTTAGGCTAAGTTAATCCAAAATTAATAGCGGTGTCGGGATGACGGAACTATAGGATCTTTATCGATATCGCTCAATATAACTAAACCATTCCCCCACTTTCTTATATTATTTTGCAGCGAAATATCAATTCAAAACACTTCGCACAATATCATACTAAATAACAACAAGGACTTCAGATAGACC